TTGAGCTGTAGGGGACTCAGGTCAACAATTTCTGACATTGCCAGTCAAGCAGAAGACCCAATACTATTATGGGCTACCGGACTCTTTTAGAATATTTTGCTGAGTTTACACACCTATAATATTTAAATGATGGAACTTAACAAAAAAAAAGGGGATACAAATGAATGTCCATTTTGTACCTGTGTATTCAAAGTGGTTAGGATAGATATATAGTTACGTTCTCCTAATAGAGGGATTTGTTCTAATGGTGTTTGTAAATAGGATATCATGTCTACATCTTATACAGCAATTAAACACTGGGAAGAATGTATGCAATGTGTTAATTATAGAAACTGTCCTACCAATTTGGTTTGAAACTGTCTCATTGCTATTTGTTTCTCAATAAAATTATGAGGGGGAAAAAAAAAAGAAAGAAAATAAAAAAAAAAAAAAAAAAAAAAAAAAAAAAAAAAAAAAAAAAAAAAAAAAAAAAAAATCCTGCTCAATACTCTGCCGTATACATGTTTAGTTTCTGAATCTGGCAAGTCCAACATTCAAAGGTTCACAAGTCTCATTCTGTTGACCCCCCTTCATAGTACTTGTTTCACAGTCGGTTTTGTAATCTGAGTTACGTCAGATTCCTCTGTATGAGTGCTATCAATTTGTGCCACAGAGCATGAAGACCACTACCCTGGGGCCAATGCAAACTAAAACTTGTTTTGTTTTAAAATTTAAATAATTAGTTATTGGTCCTGGAGGCTGAATCAGGGTCTCTGCACTATGCTGCATTCCAGTCCTATCTTTTGCTTTTTATAGGTCTATGTCACAAAGCTGGATTGAGGGTTTTTTGAGAATCTTTATAGCGGGCCACAGTGCTGCAGGCCTGTAATCCTAGCACTTGGGAGGCGGAGGCAGAAGGATTGCTGTGCGTTTGAGGCCAGTCAGAGCCACATAGCAGTTCAAGACCAGCCTACACTACATAGTGAGACTCGGTCTCAAAAAAACAGAAAACAATAAAAATCTTCAATTTTTCAAGTAGTAGAGTCACTGCTAAACACCATAATGAAAAATATTTTTAACTTTCACATAAAGACTTAAAAGTACTAGAAGGGACTAAATAAGCCACTTCTACAAGGATACAAACAGCTGAAAGTGTAAAATAAATAAAATACAAATATTTATATAAACAAATACATGCAAACCATGTATTTATGCATATAAACATGTATACATATCAAATCAATGGTCATGAACAGCACTGCAGTGGCTTGGATGTGTTTAAATGTATCCCCTAAAAGGTCCCGGACAAAGACTGGGTCCTCACTGCAGGTGGTGCAGACTTCAAGAAGCAGGGCCTAGTAAGGCCTGTTGAGCCACTCGGGTCACGTCCTCAGCAGGGACTCCTGGGAGCGCTCTCCTCCAGCCGCCCTTCCACACACTCCTGACCTTCACAGTTCCTCTGCTAGAGCTCCAATATGCCGTGAGGACTTGCAGGCTCCAAACTGCGAGCTAAATAAAGCTCTTCTCTTTGCACAGCAAGCCTGTTTCTGGTATTTTATTGTAGTAGCAAAAGCAAAACAAAACAAAACCCCAAAGGTCTACTGCAAGTACTTGGTTTCGTGAGATATGTGACTAATAATCACATTGTATTTCAAAGATGAACAGGCATTGAGTAAAACGAGAAAAATGCAGCTGCCCTAGCACCTAGCACTAAGCCTCAGAGATTATTTTGAGCCTGTGAACGGATATTTCTGCCCAGAAGGATCCTTTTGAAATGTCATACTTTAAAAACTCACATTTATATTAGTTAAGTCAGATGTTATCATTAACATAAAAACTAGGAGAATTACTTTATTTCATTATAATATCCATCTCCGACAGCTTGAAATAAAAATTTCCAAGGTCTTAGTTGAACTGTATGTTGTTTTCTTTTAAAATGTCTCTTTTTTCTTCAAAATAATTCCTGAACCACTCTATGTGTTCAACCTTCTGTTTAACACTCAGATGTGGGTTTTTCGAAAGGCCGCAAATCACCAGCTCCATGAAGTGGTGAATGGGCCCTTGTTTGGGGAAATCCTCCAGGTACTTATCCAGAAATATATGCTCATGAAATTCAGAGCCATCATCGTCAAAGCCTAGAAAATAAAGACAAAAAAATTAAAATTCTGAATATAAAACTCGTATCATAAAATTAACAGTAATGAGGTAATACTGCTAAAGGCATGTTAGATCTAGGCTTGTCTACCAATTTAACAACTGACTTTGGACAAATTACTTAACTCTTTTGAGCATCAGTTTCCTCAGGCATAATATAAGAATTAAAAGACTACTTCCTGAGATTTTAATAAAGATTACATAGACAAGCCTAGCATAATGTTCAACATAATTTATTGCTAAAGAATTATACCTAGGGCAACTACTAAGAAATACAAACTGTATTAAAAAGTATGTACATAACACAAGGTGGAATCATGAAAAAAAAAAAAGTTTAAATAGCATTTAAAACTGAAGTAAATGGGGAACTACCCGCTTGGGCCCCCCTCCTGTTCCTCTCTCGGACAGGAGCTTTCTTTCTCTCAATAAATATATTCTGCTCATTAAAAAAAAAAACAAAGAACAAAACCTGAAGTAAAGCAGGCATCACAGCACAGGTCTATATCCTAGCACTAGGGAGGCTGAGACAGGAGTCCAAAGCCAGCCTGGAATACATAGTGAGACCCTGTCTCAAAAACAAAAAAATTGGAAACACTGAACTAATACACAGTATGTTCCCCAAATGGAATCAGTAAAAGATAACTGGCCAAGCATGGTGGGACACTTTTGTAATCCCAGTACTCAAGAGGCAGAGGTAGGAGGATTGCTGTGAGTTCAAGGCTAGCATGAGCTACATAGCAAGACCTTGTATCAAAAAACCAAAACCAAAACCACACCAATCCCCCCAAAAATTCTGGGGGTGGGGAGAAGACTTGCTTCTTTTTATCTTATCCTGATACCTCTCAGAATACACAAACTATAATACTTTTGTTTTGTTTTTTTCCCCCTTAACTTTTTTTTTTTTTTTTTTTTTGCATTTTTTAGGGAAGGGTCTGCAGGGTGTTCAGGGTCTCACTACTAGATTGGACTCGTAGTGATCTGCCTGTTTATAGCCTCCCACGAGCTGGGATTACAGGCACACGTCACCTCGCCCAGTCTCAACTGCCATTTCAGCATGCCCTGGGACAGCAGGCCTGGGGATCGATCCCCTGGCCCCTGAGCCTGCTTGCCGGTGCTTTAATCTACTGAGTTATCTGGCTGGCCCCAGAAAAAAATATTTTAACATGTTAAAATATAGCATGCATGTACCATATGAACATTCATAGTAAGTTTGCTAAAGGGTTTGTAAGTTACTATAGCTTTCCTATAGAAAGTATTTTATGAAAATATAATACTAAAGATTTCTGGTATTTACGTTTTCATTTAATTTATTAATCCAAGCAAATAAAAGTTTACCAAAAATTTAGAAGATCACATTGATATCCTAATACCATGAAGGTTAAAATATAGACATTTCCTAAAACTATCCTTACCATAAAGGTAAATCAATCTATTTGAATTAAAAATGCACCTAGAAAATTTAATGACAATGTTTAACTCTGAAAATATAGGTGCTATGAAAGAATAAGTAACACAGTGATACCAGATTTTCCTTCTGGTTAGGAAGTTTAGAAAATATTCAGGGAAACAGATAATATCCCATTACCAACTCAAAGCATCTACACATGCAATCAAAGGTTTCAAAGCTTCCTGACATTGCTGCTCTGAGCAGCAGACAAGTACCCTGCATCTCACTGGCACAGCGGTTTAGATAAAAGACACCAACATAGGAGCTCAAAGCAACAACGGGGCTGGGGTACAGCTCCGCTGGGAGAGCACTGGCCTGCCAGGCAGAGGCCTTGGGTTTAGTCCCCAGAAAAGAAAGAAATAAAAGAGGGGGTGGAAATAAAGTCTTACAAAAGTTGCAATGTTCTCCAAATCTGAACTGTAATCTCACAGCCTGTATACTGTGTATTAGAAGATACCCAAAAGAATGCTCTTCTTAGCAACTAGAACACTACTACCTTTTGTAATTCTCAATCATAATTCTCAAAATCATAATCTTATTTTTATGATTAACTATCAAAATTAAGTACATTTTAAAAATTCTTTTTAAAAAATGTCAGATTTCTTCTAGGATAGCCTGGAGTATGTGTACATTGGGGTTCTTTGTTGTTGCTGTTTGGGGGACAGGCCCTCACAATATGGCTCAGGCTGGCCTTGAACTCAAGAGCAAATCGCCTCCTTTAGGCTCCTGAGTGCTGGAATTATAGTCATGCACCACCACGCATGGCAGTTTACACTACTTTGAGATTCACAAAAATACCCAGTTTCTCTATCTGTCTCTGTCTCTGTCTCTCTCTCCTTCCTTTTTATTGAGACACAGTGCTGCTATGTAGTTTAGGTAATTCCTGAACTCACTATGTAGCCCAGGCTGACCTCAAACTCATGATGATCCACCTGCTTCAGCCTCCTGAGTGCTGGGGTTACAGGTATGGGCAACAGTGACCCATGCATGGCCAATATCTAAACCCTAAAACTGATCCTCTTGCAGGATGGTGTGAATCCCTTTCAGGAACACTTGTCTCCCAGTCAGAGGGTGTGGCAACCCTCTGCACTGTGCACTTGCCTGCCTCATTGTTGATGGGGAACTCCCACAGCTTTCCTTCTTTGGTCCACTGGATCATTTCTTCAAGTCCATTCTGACAGGGCTGTTCACTTACTGTGGCTAACTGCTTTGCAAACTCCACATCCCAAAGGGAAGGTGAGGTCTCTGTACCAAAAACATTTTAAATAAACATAATGATACTAATGATTTAACAGTATATAATGAAAGGTCACCCTTTAAGAGCTAATGGTACAACAAAAATTATACAAAAACTAGAACTAAAGTAATGGCAAGCTTTAATTCTTTTTACTTGTAAACTGTGCTTTAATTTCTGCATTCAAGTAGAATGCATGAGATAGAAGCTTTCACTGTGCATCCAGAAAATAAAAGGCACATTTATACAGAGCTAGCTTATTCCTTAAAAAAGATTTTTTTGAATTAAATTAAAGCTAGTTTATCTTCAGTATAAAAGATTTTTTTTTTTTTTTTGTGGTGGTACCAGGGATCAAACACAGGACATTGTACTTGCCAGCAAGTACTTATTTATTTTTTTTTTGCGATACTGAGGATCGTACTCACAATCTTGCACTTGCCAGGCAGTGCTTACACCACTAAGCTATCTCCCCAGCCCTTTTTCTTTAGTATAAAATCTTGGAAGGTAGGAACAAACCCAAGATAATATATATGGTAATTTTCTTTTGAGACAAGATCTCACTATGCTGCTGCCCTTGAATTCCTTAGGTACCCCAGGCTGGCCTTGAACTCACAGTGATCCTCTTGCCTCAGCCTCACAAATCCTGGGATTATGAGTGTGGCCACCAACATCCAGCTTGTCCACATTTCTAAACTTGCACAGAATAGCACTTTAAACAAAGTAAATGGTCTTGTTTCAGCTTTTACTGTTAAGCATAATCCACATATGAATATTGACTAAAAATTTAATAATATATGAACTCATGAAGAATTCTGTTTTTTTTTTGGGGGGGGGGGTGCTACTAGGAACAGAAATCAGGACCTTGAACTTGCCAGGCAGTAGGCATTTATGCCACTGAGGTATATCCCCAGCCTTATATTTTTTCTATATTTTAATAATTTTATTGAGAAAGAAATAGCAATGAGACAGTTTCAAAACAGGTTAGTATGCACTGAAGATGGTAATCTGTAATAGTAGTTTCATGCCTGGAGTGCCTGTCATTCTGGTCTTCTGAATATGGGCTGCTTGTCATGACGTGCCAGTTGCTGCTGTGCTGTCTCTCGGGTAGATGATTGTTCAAAAAAAAAGGGGTGGTGAATGAGGGCAGGAGACAGGAAAAGGAATGGTGTGAGACTGTCCTGCTTCAAGGCTGTATATGGTGAGATTTTTGGACTTACATGTAAACATAAGAAATATATAATTTATTATGCCTATTTTTAAAATATATTCTAATTTTGAAATGTTTTTTCATCATATTCTGTAGGGACTTAAAGTTCAACATATCAATACTTGATGAAAAATACCTGTTCCATGTTATACCTAAGATGTTTGATATTCAGACAGACAGTGAAGTCAAGCTTAACAGCCTAAGTTGTATGGTAATAACAATAAGCTTGTCTTCTGGAGGGTCAACAACCTAAGTTTGCAGACCAAAATTAGAGAAAAAGGAGGGCTGCAAGGAAAGCCAATATTTTGGCCCTAGCCTTCCAAGGTCAATTAAGACTCAGGACATATGAGAACTTGTACTGTAACGTCATGTAACTTAGTAGTGTCCCAAATTTTCAGATCAAGGAGATTATGGGGCCAAAGAGGAATGTGATCAATGATGTAGAGTGTGCCTAAGGTGAGTCACATGGAGAGAAAACATTCTCTCAGGCTTTCACAGAGAGCACATTGGCCAAGCAATGGCCATGACTCATCCACATGGCTGACACTGACAAAGGTTCTACAATCTGAGATACAGGATCTCAGGATAAATCCTGAGGGGATTTCACTGACCTTATCAGACCCAAAAGCTACAACTCTTGTTGCGTAGGTCCTGCGTTACCTTGGTCTTAACCATCTAGCAGAAAAGTATAAAAACGAAGTAGAAGTAAAGCCATGGTGTTGTGTTGAGCTGTAGGGGTCAACAATTTCTGACATTGCCAGTCAAGCGGAAGACCCAATACTACTGAGGACTATTGGACTCTTTTGGAATATTTTGCTGAGTTAACACACCTATAATATTCAAATAACGGAACTGAACAAAAAAAGGGTATACAGATGAATGTCCATTTTATATCTGTATATTCAAAATGGTTAGGATAGATATATAGTTGCATTCTCTTAATGAATAGAGGGATTTGTTCTAATAGTGTTTGTAAATAGGATATCATGTCTGCATCTTGTACAGCAATTAACCACTAGGAAGAATGTATGCAATGTGTGAATTATTGAAACTGTCCTGCCAATTTGGTTTGAAGCTGTCTCATTGCTATTTGTTTCTCAATAAAATTATGGAGAAAAAAAAAAAAAACCTGGGGCTGGGGAGATGGCTCAGTGGAATAAACACTTCCCTGGCAAGTGCCAGGGCCTGAGTTCAATCCCCGGTTCCGTTAAAAAAAAAAAAAGGTTAGTAGTACAGTTATGATAATTTAACACATTGCATATTGTTGCCTTTGTAGTAGTTATTATTACTAGTACAAGATACAGACATGATATCTTGTCTAAACACTATTAATTCAAAACCTTCTTCTCACTGAATATCCCCAGCCTTATGAAGAATTCTGTACAAAAACACAAGTTACAGAAACCTGGGTTTTTATTTTATTATTTATTTATGGCAGAATGGGGGACTGAACTCAGGCCTTGTGCTTGCCAGGCAAGCACTTATTCTGAGCCATCATCGTGGCCCCTAGATCTGATTTCAAATACAGATACATAGATCATCATGACCTTACATGCTACAGCAGTGAGCTTTAATATTTGTATTATTATTATGCCAGGCAATTACTACTACCTTCTCTACTGGAAAGGGGGAAAAAAGGTTTTTTTTTTATTTAAAGGGTTTTTATAAATATGACTTTATATATGACTTTGATCTCCAAAGCCCAGTCTGTCTATTTTTATTTTTTGTGGTACTGTAGATTAAATCTCAGGCTTCCAAACTGACTGTGTCCCCAGGCCTTTTTATTTAGGGTTTCTCTAAGTCACTAAACTGCATAAGCTGGTCCTGAACTTGTGATCCACCTGTGTCAGCCACCCAGAGTGCTGGGATTACAAGCATACCCTGCCACCTGGCCAGACTGTTTGAGTCTGTCAGACAGGTCACTAATCAGCAGTGGCACATGGTAATGCCAGCTACTCCGAGGCTGATGCAGGTGCAGCACAAGACTGAGGTAGGCCTGGGCAACTTAGAGAGGCCTTGTCTCAAAATACCGTAAAAAGGGTTGGGGATGAAGCTCAGTGGTAGAGCACTTGCCTAGCATGTATGAGCCTTACACTCAATCCCCAGTAGTGGGGGAAAAACTAGTTACTTATATATATTATTACTAATGGCCAAATAAGTTAATTTAACAGGGTAATAATAACAAAAACAGTAAGGGATACTGACATTCACTCTGCGCTAAAAATTTGTTTTGGTAACACAAACTCATCTTTAGAATTTCGCTGTAAGGCATTATCATGTTGGCTTAATATCACTATCATATTACATGCTTTAATCATTCATTTACTTTTACAGTTTAAGCCATCTCTCTAGAAAAGGCCATATTTCTACCCCTCACACTTATGGGAATGTAAAATGGTATGACCATTCTGGAAAAGTCTGAGAGTTCCTGAAAAAGTCAGGGACTCAGCTGCTGTTCAGCACAGTCATCCCCCCTCTGGGCACCTACCCGAGGGAGAACAGCACATGTCCACACAAAGACCTGCACATGAAGTTCACACACACTCTATCTGTAACACCCAAAGCTGGGCTGCAATTTGAGAAAAACCCAAATGTCTGATAACAGAATAATGGATGAGAAAATGTGATACATCCAATTATACATTACTCAATTATAATTACTGGTATGTGCAATAGCATGGATAAATCTCAAATCATTATGCTGAATGAAAGAAGCCAGACACAAGAGTACATGCTGTGTAATTTGTGATTTCATGCATATAAAATTCTAAGAGATGCAACGTAATCAATAGTAACAGAAAGCAAATCAACAGTTGCCTGAGGACAGGCACTGCACTGAAGGATGTCCGTCCTTCTAATTATACTAGCTACACTTTTGTGCATATCTAATTATCCCCTCAAAATAAATTCCCAGGAACAGCATGTCTGAGTCAAAAGCATGGATCACATATGATTATTCTGTTGCCTGTTTACTTGCCCTTGCCAAGATTACTAAACATCCCAACAAGTGGCTCATCTATTCTCTCTAGGTAAACCTTATTTTGCTTCTTCTGATTGTTTTTATGAGCCTTTATATGCATGAACATGTCTAACCACACGGACTGGTAGGTAATTAACTAACCATATATACAATTTTATGCCAATGGTAAGACAAAATTAGTCTGACTATTTTTTATTCAGTGGATACTGACTGGAGTCTGAACTACATAGTGAGACCCTGTAATATGAAAAGAGCAGTGCACAATGGCTTAAGGTAAGTTTTCATATTGTTGTTATTTTTATATTTAATTGGGAACAAAAAAGAGTATCTTTAGACTATTCAAGTATAGCTTATTAAAACACAGCGCCATCGTTAACTTATTACATAAATTTGTATCTTTTCTTCAGAGTACTCATAGCAAAACTATCTTACACCTTTTGTTTTGGAAACAAAGCCTCATTAGTAACCCTATGTAGCTCAGGCTAGCTTAGGATTTGTACTCCTCCTGCCTCAGCCTCCCAAATGCAGGGATTATAGGTATGCACCACCAAAGTAGATGCTTCTTTTTGGGGGCAGGGGGTGACCAAGATCATCACACTGAGCTACATCTTGAGTCTTTTTTATTTCTTTTTGATACATGATCTCATCAAACTGCCCATGCAGAATTCAAATTTGGAATCCTTTTGCCCAGAGCCTGGCTTCTTACACTGGTTTTATAAAATACATGAAACTTCAGTGTTTGTAGGCTAGCTCATTTCAATTTTAGGGAAAAGTAAGCTGGTCTCCTGGCTGCTTATCAGGTGGGCAACAGCAGCTGTCTCGACAGCAAGCTCCTCTCTGAGGCAAGCTTGCCAGAGCCTCCTGGCAGGGGACACGGGCTTCCCTCCTGCCTGTACGTCGTGCATCTCCTTCTCGTCGTACACAACAGAATGCAGCTGGCCCCATTCAGGGCTGTCGTTCTTTCAGCTTGGGTTTCAGTTACGACGAGCAAAACTGACTGAACTACATTAATGCCTTTCCTTTACAGATACACATTTTATGGCTTGGTTTGTTCAGAAAGATTTACGATCTAAGGTAACTAATTCCTGTTATCTGTAATTCTCTTGCCTATGTGGTATAGGATATACAAACATAAATAAGACCTACGCCCTAACATCAAGGAGTTTGCTGAATAGTGGACAGATCAGATGTTTATATTAGGTAGTAGTTGTAAGACTAAATGAGCCTGGGCAATTGCTTTAGGAGGACTAACTTCTTTTTTTATAGTTTGTTGGGTTTTTTTTGTGCAAGGCCTCACTACGCAGCTCAGACTCACACTGATCCTCCTGTTTTCAGCCTCCCTAGTGCTGGGATTACAGGTATACACCACCATACCCGGACTCCATCACTGGCTCAGCACGCCTGGGGGCGGGGCCAGCACAGCATGTGGGGCCAGGGATCAAACCTGCACTTGCCTGGCACTTGCCCTGCACTTGCCTAAGCCAGCACTTAGCCCACTGAGCTATTTCACCGGAGAACTAATTTCATGTGCAATATTATTTCTACTAAGATTCTAAAGTTAATCTCCATTCTTCCCAACTATGTATTGTTTATAAGCTGGAAACCACATATGCTGAATTTCATTTATCGGGAAAGCAAATTTAATGTTCAGAAACAAGTTACAGTACTTGTCTCTCTCTTTTTTTTTCTTGCGGAACTGGGGATTGAACTCAGGCCCTTGCACTTGCCAGGGAAGCGCTTATTTCACTAAGCCATTCCCAGGCCCCTTGTCCCTTTTGATGAGACTTAAAAAGGAGAATTTGAAGGATTTGACGTCTTACTTTAGGAGAGGGCAAGAAGAGAAAAAAAAATATACGGTATACCTGGGGGTGGTGACACACACCTATAAACCAAGCACTTGGAAGGCTGAGGCAGGAGGATTGCTGAGTTTTACCCGCCTGCACTACACATTGAGACATCTCAAAAACAAACAAACAAACAAACAAACAAACCCAGAAACAAACCAGAGGACTAAACAGTCACTATATAATTTCAATAAGTTACTTCTACAAATTCTACCTCTTATTCCAGATGCAGTTGTCTAAAAGCAGATACCACAGCTCTTTGTATAAGAGCACAGTACTGCCCTGAACATAGTGCGTGACTGTTAATGATCTAGCCCAAATTAGTAGTGGCCTATCCCTCCAGATGGTTCCACTAGTAATACTGACCTCCAAAAGCCCCAAAGGAAGTGACATTTGAATGGGGAACCTGGCCAAGGCCAGCAATGTCAACAACTTCATTTGTAAGCAGGACCCATGCCAGTAACAAGACAGAATACCAAAATACCCAACTATTAGATATAGTGTTATTTTCTTAACAAACCTGTGAGAGGTGCTTCTTCAGTAAATTGCTTAATATCAAAGATATTAAGTCTCTCCCCTTTGAATAAACCTTTAAGACTAAAAATAAAAAAGAATGTATTTTAGCAAGATATTTATAAACTGTCCACAAAAACTGTATGATAAAAACTTTTTACATGAAATATTCCATGTAGAAATTAAAAGTAATTCCACAGACTCAGACCAGATATTTAGTAAATTGCCATGTTTTTGAGGCTCATAAGAGCACTTAAATTTCTGTTTCATAATACAAAGACAGTTAAAGCAACTTAATTTTCAAATATCTGAAACAATTACACTAATTTGCTATAATTTTTTTATCTTATAAAATTTTAGGAACAATGTAAAAAGCTAAAAAATAATTAAAATAGAAGCTATTAAAGTCTGACATTAGTCTTTAAGGGCTGAAAACACTATATTTAATTACAGAGCTAAAAAGATCACATTGATAAACCAAACTATGCTCTTCAATAAAGCAACCATTCTGCAGTTTAAAAATATTAACTTTCTTCACATAACTAGTTTTAACTATTGATATCAGCATTAATAGATGACTTCTTTTATACAATAATCAACTGCTTTATGTATGAATTCATATACATACTTGAACAGTTTTAAAACTGGAAGATTAATTTTTAAACTAACTTTATTTTCATTTCTGGATCAAATTACATTTCTCAAACTAACTGCAAAAAAATGCAAACAGTATGTTCAAATCTGAGGAAATTACTGCAAGCCCTGTGAATTTTTCCTCTGCTAGGTTCCCACATATGGTACTTATAAAACAAAGCCCTTTATGCCCCAGAAAGACCCTCAGTGCCGTGAATTCCTTCCCTACCTGACGGCCTCTCAACCGCATGTCAGTTAAACAAGGCAATAGATAAAAGTGACTCATAGTGAAGAGGCAATGCCTTGGTAAAGTAAGCAAATGCCCAAGGAATGTACTGAGAAAGAGAGGATGAACATTTGCTGAGCAGACTATCAGATAGCTGACACTTTTCCATTCTTCAAGAAAGCTAGATTTCACTTTCAGCATTTTATAGATGGGGAGACAGATTGATGGTGGCTGTGAAAGTTGCCCCAGGCACAGAATTATTCGGTTGCGGTGCCAAGATGCTGGAGCAAGTCAGTGTGACTCCAAAGCCAGAGCTCCTTGACTCAGTCTCTAAAGGAAAGACTCTGCCCAGGCCTGGTCTTCTCAGACCACCTTAAATCCTGCACACTGCCTCCAGGTTTTATCATAGCAGGGTGAACAGCTTGCTCTTTTCCCACTGCTTCTGTGTTCACTTTTATACAATGCATGCACAGAAATGCCCTTCTTTTTTTCAAGCTTTTCTCTTGCTGCTTTCTAATTTTTAAAGGCAGCTAAACATCAAGTCATAACATGCAATTGAGACGTAGCTGCATGGAATCCTAGAAGATTGATTCAGTTAAATATTTCCAGTAAACCTACAACTACACTTTCTACTTACAAATACTAAATCACATAAAATTAGTAATTCCAAAAATCATCCAGAGTCACAGTTAACCTCCTGAACTTCCTGCGTTAAATGCTGACTACCTTTCTAATCTTTCTACACAAATCTTTAATGTAATACCAGGAAGGAGTTAAGTCAAGTTCCTGGGATTCTACTTTAAAAAACATTTATGGAATACATAACATATTGAAAACATTCCAACTGTGAGCACATCCTGCTATTAAAGGTTAAGTCTTCCTAGTAAAGCCAAGTTAGTTTTTGTCAGAGCACGCCAGCTAGCTAGTTCTTTCTCTCCAACTGTAACTTTCTGGGTTTAAAGGAGAGAAAGGACAGAAGTTTTATGTAAATATAGGCTAACCTTCAATTGTATATAGATTTTTTATTTTTATGAAGGGTTTGACTAACATACGATGGAAGGTCAGATATAGAGATGTAAAGTACACACAAATATTCAGGATTAGAAACATGTTCAGAATGAAAAATGCTTCTCATAAGATGTTCATCTGTTCAGAATTCAGTCAGCTCCACCCATTCTACATCAGAGCCCCTCAGTGTGATAGGGATAGATGTAAGGAAGGCCCCATTTTGACTTATGTTGTAGGAAACTGTAGAACTATTAACCCCAGAACATCTTTCGCTCTCTAGAAAACATCCACAGAACACGAAGATGCATGAAAAGCACCCATAACACTCAATGCCTACAGCAATCATATGTACAAGGAATAAAATAACCTAAGCCCACTAGACAGCAAAGCCTGAATACCTTTTTTTTAAATCAGCGGTTATCTCCTGCCCTGCAGCACTGTCAATTTCTTCATCAAACTGAATCTGATGCTCTAGTCTTGATGTTCTAGCTGTAGCAGATCTGGCAACTTTCATATCTGATATAATATTACTGAAACTGAAACAATAAAAAGGTCAAATAAATTAGAAATCGCAGCCAGACAATACTAGTAAACTTTTCTTAAACAGGTGACACTTTATTTAATTATTTCACTTTTATGCACTAATACAGCATAAAAACTATGTTTAAATAAAAAGTACTGTCCTGAAAGTTAAACAAAAACAAAAACAAAAAAACCTACAGAAAGAAAGAGGAAAAACACAGAAACAAAGCTTTTGTAAATGGGGAGGAGATGAGGTTGAATGGAGGGTGGATAAATGAGGAAAAAACCAAATTACATCAGGGATGGGTACAAATTCTCTGTGATGAATATGATCATCATGCATATCTAAAATGTAAAATGTACCAACAAAATCTGGTTGAAATAAGAAAGAAACAAAATAAAAAAGTAAGTCCTTTATTAACATTCACTTAGGACTTACTTATGTTTCATTTTGAGGGTGGGGGTTGAGACAAGTTTGAGATGGTGAGGGATATGCAGTCCAGGCTGGTTGCCAACTTGCCTCACCTGTCCAAGTACCGGGATTACAGGCTTGTGCCACCACACCTGGCCCAGATTTATGTTTATTTCTATCTCTTAAAAATGTGATGCAACTTGGGAGGCTGAGCAGGAGGGCTGCCATGAGCTCAAGTCCAGCCTGGGCTACACAGTGAGACCCTAACTCAAAAAAACTTTTTCATTTAAAACATAGAAGTATTACATATAAAAACTATTACTATTCAGGAGTTGACAAGAAAATACTATGAGTATCTGTGTCTACCACATCAATACCTAAGTTAACAGAGAAACTTAGCTGTATTTACGTGTTACACTTGTTCAAATACAAGCAGAACAAGTTATTTCACTGAGTCCAGATACTGTATTTTAACTTCCTGATACAATTCTGATACACATATTAAGAATAGCTGATTTAAATCACTTCCCAAAATGAAGGGCTCGCCAGATAGCTCAGCGGACTAAAGCACCTGCTTAGGCAGAGTGCAGTGGCTGGGGTTCGATCCCTGGCATGCAGTGCCAGCTCCACCTCCAGGGCACACTGAGACAGCGATTGAGACTGGGTGTGGTAGCATGCACCTGTAATCCCAGGGCTTGAGAGACTGAAAATCAGAGGATCACTACAAGTCTGATCTATGCAGTGTGACCCTGTAGACCCTGTACTAGATACAAAATGAAGCAGCACTGCTACTTACTAGCTTTGGGCAAAGAGTAGTAAAAGTTGGCATGAAGTAACAAGAAATGAAAGGGAAAAATAGAGAGCTCAGTTCAAACTTAATAGAAAGGGAAAGAAATATGTCTGAAGATTATTACACTAAGCAGAAAACCAGCATATGATTTTACTAAGAAAAATTCTCAGAAAAACTTATTTATGTACTTATTTAAATAATATTAGTGAATTTGCCATTTATTTTTCAAAAGGGAGAAATTTTGACTTTCTAGAAGAAAAATCTAACCGTTTCTTAAAAAAATTGCAACCTCACTTAAGACATTTATTTATTTATTTATTTATTTATTTTTGCAGAACCGGGGATTGAACTCAGGTAAGCGCTTATTCCACTGAGCATCTCCCCGGCCCCAAGACTTTTAAACAAGAGATTTTTATATATTTTTTATTAACACATACCTGCTTTTTAAAAAATCCAACTGCTAAAATTCTATTTGCTGTTGCGCCTTCATCAGACACAAGCACAGCCCACTTCAGGTATGTAAGCACGCACGACGCACGGAAGCAGCTCTGACATCACTGGTGCACTGACCTGATCTTGGGTTTCCTTCCCTGCTCCCGGGACGCGGGGCCTTGCTCGTGCTGCTGCAGCCGCCTGAGCAGCTCTGACTTGGTCATCTGCTTGTCAAAAGGGAGAGAAGCTGCCACAGCAGACGCAGCTGCCACCAATGCTGGATTTGGAGGCTTATTTCTGAAACAGGAAGGGAGAAAGAAAGACAGGGACTGTTTACTATGCCACTAGCTTAGTGAAAGTTAAGTGATTTGGGGACGAGGACCTGCCACTCAAAAAAGTTTTCAGCGCTCGGGATGCAGCTCAGCGGCGGCACGCTTACTGAGCATGCACGAGGCTGCGTTTAATTCTCAGCATGTATCCACCCCTCAGAAAGCGCCTTTCAACTTCCATCAAAAGACTCTTCAAATACTAAACAGTGGTTTTATATAAATTTTGAAACACTAACCACATAAAAAAGCTGAAAACACTAATTTCTGGTCAAAAGAAGCCAGATAAGATAGTTATCAACATCTTAAAGCCCAACCTAGAAGAATCCTTAAGTGGAAAATTTTAAGAAAGTCTTTTACAGACATAACATCACATGACCTTCCAAACAAGACGTATCTGGCCAGGAACAGTGGCGCCCTTGGGCGGATAAGGCTGAAGGATCACCATGAAGTATGAGTTTGAGGCCAGCCTGTACTACCTAGAGACCCTGTCTCAAACAAAACAAAATAAACCAAACTACAAGATATATCTGATACATCTTAACAGCTTAAAAAGCCCACTAAAAAAGTCAGTAACACTCATGTAAGAGGTTGTGTGGAATTCTCAGATAACTATTCATTTCTTTAGATTGTACAGAAATAGTCTGTTATTACTCAAATATAAAACAACAACAGCATTCTTCGAATAATTATTAGGATCCCCATATTGACAACCTGATGGTTATTCTTTAATTCACTATTGCTCAGGGCCAGGGACATAACTCAGGGGCTTAAGACCCCACCTGGTACAAGGTCCTAAGTTCAATACCGGGTACAAAAAAAAAAAAAAAAAATTAATTCACTATCACTCAAGTACTCTAATTAAAAGTACTTTTACTAGAAGAAAAAAATCTCACTGGAGTCTCAAGATTTAGTTACAAAGTACATGTAAGTTGCAATTAAACTTACCGCTTCTCCAGCCCATCTTCCCCAGCTCTTCGGAGTTTTCCAATTTCAGTCTCCACACTTTTAAGTGGTTTTCGGCTGGGGGGCTTTGTGGTTTGTACATTTGCTGCATTTAATTCGACTTTCATGCCTTTAATAATGTTTAATAAGTTTTTTTTTGATTTCTCTTTTACAGCCTCTCGGCTCTCTGAAGGCCTTTTGGAAATCTCACCAGCTGGACCAGACTTCTCACCTTTCTTGCTACAGACCACACTGCTGGTACCAAAGTATCTCTGGACATATTTTGTCCTGGAAAGATGTATTAAAGAAAAAAGTTGTATGCAGAATGTCAAATAGTAAAGCAAATATTCAATAACTGTTTCTGCATTATTTTTAAACATTTTAAAAACTCAAGCCCTTTCTATTCGCCTTTCCACTGATCATCACAACAGCAACAACCTGCCGCACATTAGCGCAAACCACGTGCCTGGGCTGCGGAATGTAATCCAGGCACACCTTCCCGTGCCTTGAGCTGTGGTCACTGAGACCACCTCACCACCACCGCAGACGCACTATGTCCAGAGCCACACTCAAGACCTCTCCTCCGAGTCACATGGAGAGAAAACATTCTCTCAGACTTTCACAGAGCACCTTGGCCAAGCAATGGCTGTGACTCATCCACATGGCTGACACTGACAAAGGTTCTACAATCTGAGGTACAGGATCTCAGGATAAATCCTGAGGGCATTTCACTGACCTTATCAGATACAAAAGCTACAACTCTTGTTGCATAGGTCCTGCGTTACCTTGGTTTTAACCATCCAGCAGAAAAGTATAAAAGCGAAGTATAAGAAGTAAAGCCATGGTGTTATGTAGAGCTGTAGGGGACTCAGGTCAACAATTTCTGACATTGCCAGTCAAGTGGAAGACCCGATATTACTGGACTCTTTTAGAGTATTTTGCTGAGTTAACACACCTATAATATTCAAATGACGGAACTGAACAAAAAAAGGGGATACAAATGAATGCCCATTTTGTATCTGTGTATTCAAAGTGGTTAGGATAGATATATAGTTGCATTCTCTTAATGAATAGAGGGATTTGTTCTAATGGTGTTTGTAAATAGGATATCATGTCCACATCTTGTACAGCAATTAACCACTAGGAAGAATGTATGCAATGTGTTAATTATTGAAATTGTCCTACCAATTTGGTTTGAAACTGTCTCATTGCTATTTGTTTCTCAATAAAATTATGGCAAAAAAAAAAAAAAAAAAAAACCTCTCCTCCACACGGGCTGTCCATTTTTCACTCTGTACTGAATGCTTCCTATCAAAAACTTCTGTATCTTAAAACTGATACACTTAAAAATCTCAAACTTGCTCCCCATTCATTTAACATTCATGATACGCTAATCCTTAACTCTATTACTTGTCACCTTAGTACTGAGTCTCAAAAGCAAATATATTTGAAAACCTGTAACATATGCACCACTGCATGCTACTCCACCTCCGCCTTTGTCCCCGCTACTTGTCCCTGCTTCCACCTGTACTTTTCTTTTTTTATGAATTTAGGGCGGGGTCTACAGAGTATACAGGGTCTGACTATGTAGATCGGACTCGTAGTAATTCTCCTGTTTTCAGCCTCCCAAGTGCTGGGATTATAGGCACGTGCCATCAAGGCCAGTCTCAATCGCTGTCTCAGGGAACCCTGGGGGCGGGGCCCTGCTGCCAATGCAGGTGCTTTAGTCCGCTGAGCTGTATGGCCGGCCCATCACCTTTACTTTTCAAAACAAAACTAAACTAAAAAAAAAAAAAAAAAAGGCAAATATACTACAAAGTGTGAAGCTGGTGTGTATGTCACATAATGTTAGTAATAACAGTCTTGCTATGAGTTCAGGCTGACCTTAAACCTGCAGCGATCTTCCTGCCTCAGCCTCCCATGAGCTGGGATTACAGGCCTGCGCCACCACACTGATTCAACCTGTGCAGTTCCCACCTCCACCCAGCTGACCTTTCCCACTGCTGTCGCTACTAACTTGCTTCAGCACTGTATGATATCGAGTTGGTCCCAAACAGTTGTGCGTGGACTACACGCAGCGTTTTTTAGGTCTCCATAATCATGGAGTTCTTAGAGGGAAAACACCCAAACAAGTACACAATAACTTCTTCCAGGACTCCACACAGCGGTCCTGAGAGATTCTATCACACTTCACTTGCAGAAAGAATACCCCGAACCTCTCCGACGAGGACTAGATGTCCCCGGTTGCTCTCAGCTGTTACCTGTTGAGCGAGGTCCCTGCCACCTGCCACTGCCAGCCTGGGCCACCTGCCCCGTCTCGGCTGCTACTTCCTTACGTGCAGGGCTTTCCTGGGACTTAACACTAGCACCGACAGACCGGAAGGACTTTCAGAAATGACTTAAGGAGCAAATGAAGCCCCGCGGCAACGTCCTGGGAGGCAAGCAAGCCCCACCCCATCTCTGGAGCTCGAACACCAGCGCCGACGCGGCCGCCTCGCGGGACCGGAGCGCACGCCCACAAGGCGCCCCGGGGCGGCCTGTCCTCGCGGCGGGAGCCGCGCACGGTCTGGCCCTGCGCGTGGCACTTTAACTTTCTAGGCCGTCCCTCCCCAGATTTGAAGCAGAGGAGCCTAAGATTCTTTTCAGGCTGTAACACAGGCCCGAGGGAACCGGAGAGCGGCGGCTGCAAGGGAGGGCACGGGCCGTCCGAGGGACTGCGGCTCCACGGGGTGTACCTGAGCGCTCCGGGAGGAGCAGCGCGGGGCGGAGCTGCAGCCGCTGCCGACTCCGCGCTTCCGGAGGGCGCAGGGTGCGGGGGCAGGCGGCGAAGGGGCAGCAGCGGCGCGACCCTCCGGAGCATAGCGGGGACGCAGGGGGCGAGGCGGACGGCGCGTCCCGCTGCCAAACACGTCCCCGCGGTACTTTCCGTTTCCGGGCCGGGTGCGGGCCTCTCCCGTGCGCTCCGGTGGGCAACAGAGGTCCGTAACTGTGTTCCGGGTCGGCGGTGGCCTACCAAGCCAGCAGTCTGCACCGTAGGGGTTCCAGTTCCAGAGGTGAAGTGCACGTCTGAATTCCATAGGACCTGTAGGAAAACTGATCTCCGCCTGCCTGTCAAGAGCAAGGCCCTGAGTTCGATCCCCGGTACCGCAACAACAATAACAACAACAACAAAAAAAAAAAAAAAAAGAAAAAAAAAAAGAAAAAAACTGATCTGTGGGTTGCTTGGGGACAGAAATTCTCAAGACGGTTGGTGGGCACCAAAGAGGTTTTAACCCTTTACTGTAGGATAAGTCAACACGACCATTAGAACAGGACAATGAAAATAGAGGCCATCTCTGTTCTTGATGGAGCACCAAAACGTGATAAATACCTAAAAAATGGCCTTTAAGACAGAAAGATGCAAAAAAAAAAAAAAAAAAAAAGATGTGGCTTTTTTCTGCCCTTCGAGGAGGCGGTGGACCGTGGCCCAAGCGTGCGCGCCAGGCCAGCGAGGTCCTAGGCTGACAGAACCGCCAGCCCAGAGTCTTGTACTGGCAACCTAACTCTGCTGTCAACATTTTCCCTGTGCTCCTCCAAAAGCGTCAAGGCTGGGAAGTGAATTTCTTTGATGCTGAAAGTGCGCAGCATCTTTCAGCATCAGAGAAATTCAGTGTGTTGTTAGCATCTAATCTTAACAACACATTGTGACTGAGTGATTTGCACAGAGTGCTCACTTCATTTTATTCTGCAAAACAAACTGTATTTATTGTAGTGTTGGGGATTCAACTAGGAGCACATTGCCACTGAGCTGCGTCCCCAGCCCTTTTCACATCCAGATAGGGTTCCATTAAATTTCCCAGGCTGGGCTCAAACTCGTGACCCATCGGGCTCGGCCTCCCGAGGCTCTGGGCTCACAGTTAGGCACCCCCACCCCCACCAGCTCTAAAGTAAACTTGTTAAAAAAACAAATCGTAGTATAGCTTTGTCAAAAAACCAAGTTATAATGAAGTAGTTTAAAGATCTCACTGCTTTTACTCGTGATTCTAGATTCAGGCGACGCCCTATTGCATCAAATACACTGAATATTCCATGAGCCGAGCAGAGGCTTGAGTCAGCAAAGGCGAGAAGAAAACAGACAGAACAGAAAGCAGAGCCCTTTGTTTTCTCTCCTCAGAGGGTTAGCGCCGAGAGGTCTGCTTGTCATGCTGGCTCAGGCAGACAAGGCCCATTCTGATTAGTTACTGTGGGCTCCTGATTTGGGAGCACTGGCCCATCTCCGAATTCATTTCCATACTTAGCACAAGTACTGTAACTACGTTCTGCTTTGTGAGGTCTGCTGGGGCCTGGGGCACGTAAGTCCAAAGCAGCAGTCTCCTGTGACTTTGAACAACTTAAATACAGAGAAGTATGTGAATCACAAATGTGTTGATTAAAAATATGCCTAATAAATGACTATAGGGATAATTTCTACATGTAAAAAACCACCAGGTCAAGAAATAAAGTATTAGTAAGATATACTTTACTTGAAGTCACTTGCTATGCAGTGGGAAGTCCATCCTTGAGTACATGAACAGCCGTCAGTGTTACATTTAACAGCTCCCACATATTCTTTCCATTTTTCCCCCAATGCTGGGGATTTAACCCAGGGCCTCACTCATGCTAGGCAAGCATTCTATCACTGCTCTCTATCTTCAGTCCTTCCAATTTCTTATATATCCCTCACAACAACAGAAACGGTGAAACTGGACTCTTGTCAAAGAACAGTGAAACTTCCACCTCAATTTCACAAGGTCAGATCCTTCCCCTTTGTTCTTCACCCACTGTGCGGCAGGGCAAGCCCTGCAATTGTGTGTGTGCTGCCCCAGTGTACACAGGCTGAGGGTCCCAAGGGAGCAGGGCATGCCTGCTCCACTTCCTGGCTCCCTTAGCTGTCATGTGCTATAAGGGCTCCTTTCACTATTCTGGTTGCAGAAGCACCCTGCCCCACCCAGTCACATTGGAAGAGATTGCGGCTGTCCCCCTTATCCATTTCCCTCTTCCTCTGGAGTTTTAGATGAATACGTGGCCACAGAAGTAGAGGCTACATTTCCCAGCCACTCTCAAAGATAGGTGTGCCACTGCCCAAAGTTCTGATCAGAAGCAATATGCCCTTTAAAGATGGGCACCCATTCCATACAAAGTCCTTACCTTCCTTGTTCCTATCTTGAATACGGATAAGGTGCTAGGAGCTGAAGCACCTGGAGATTGATGAAAGATCACAGAGGTAAGGATGAGAGAGCCTTCGGTGTCTGCCTCCTCCTCCCAACGTGTGCAGCACAAAACGTGTGCAAAATACACTGTCTAACTTATATGGAGTCATTTGTGATGAGTAGCCTAGATTGTGCCTTAATGTAGGTTCCCTCTATACTGAAACACTGTTTCCATAGAGTATTTATTAGATCTAAAATTACCTCATGTATTAATTGCTTACTGTCTGTCTTAGGCTAACAAATAGGTGCTCTATGAATGCCTGGCCTTTGTTTTATTTGCTGCTGTAATCCTAGTTTCTAGAACTGTACCTAGCATAAAACAGATGCTTGGATGAATATATTAACTATTTCCAAGTACAAAAAAAGTATGCAGAGAAATGAAATCAATTGCCCAATTTAATATATCTAGTAGGTCATACAGCCTCATTCAAACTCAGGACCATCTTGCTCTGATTTTCTTTAAGCCAGAGTCTTACTATTTATCCAGGCTGGCCTGGAACTCACAGTTCTCCTGCCTCAGCCTTCCTAGCTGGGATTATGGGTGTGCTACCGCACCCTGCTCTAACTGTGCTATTCTTATTCATCCAGGAGTTCCTGATAGTCTTTGACTTCAGTCGTGCATGGAAGTCAGGGGGAGAGGCGTATGCTGATGCATACTGTTGAGTAATTTATACAGTTTAACTCTTAGATCTGAATCTGAGCCCCTAACAAACACCCAGTGTGCTTCTGGGAACTCTGATAAAATTTTAAACTCCATGGTCTTCATTTACTGGCTTGTTTAGCTATTCACAACTCTGTATAGGCTTAGGGTACACATCAAAAAAATTGAAGGCTGGAGATGTAGCTAGTGGTAGGGTGCTTGCCTAGCAGGTAGATGGCTCTGGGTTGAAAGGAGAGGAAGGAGGATGGGGAAGAAAGGGCGTAAAGGAGCAAGGGAGGAAACAGTGTTAAAATTGCTAATTTGGAACAACATGGGTGACTCTCACAGACACTGTGCTCAGGGACGGAGATGGACCTGAGAACAACCTCAGCCGATACCGTTCTGCTTATGTGTGATGAACTACAGGAACAGAAGCGAGCCTGGTATGACAGGGATGGGGACAAAAGGAGAAGATGGCCAACAAGGGAACTTCAGGGGCTTGCTGGACTATTCCCTCCTGATTCTGGTTGTAGCTATAACATGTTTCCCACTTTATAAAAACTCACAGATCTAAATATCTAAAAGGACATGAGTCTTATTATATGTAAATTATATCAAGGGGAGAGGACCTGCCCCTTGTGGATGGTACCACCCAGTGGTACAGCCCAGATGGAATGCGAGGAGAAGGATGCGGTCAGTCTGCATGTGGAAAGCTTGTCTGCATGTCTTTTGCTACTGTAGTCACCTGTGGGCTGGACATCAGACTCCGGTTTCTTCAGCTTTTCATTGCAGACTCACACCAGCAAACTTCCAAGGGAGCATCTAGGCCTCCACATTTGGGCTGGCACTGCTATCCAGATTCCTGTGGTTCTGTAGCTTCCAGTTTCTTGGCCTGAGCAGCTACCGGATCATCAGGCTCCCTAGCATGTAGGCAGCTACCAATGACTGCCCCACCCGGAAGCCTGTGAGCTACCCCATCAACCCGTGTGTGTGTGTGTGTGTGTGTGTGTGTGTGTGTGTGTGTATACATGGATATCTATGGATTCACTTTCCAGTACTTCGAAAACACCATGCTGAGAGCATCAAAATTAAATCTCTAAAAAGTTGGAACTAGCCGGGTAGATAGCTCAGTGGCAGAAGCACCTGCCTGGCAAGGGCAAGGTCCTTACCAAAACCAAAAAACCCAAAACCAAACAAAAAAAAACAACAACAACGAAAACCTGGAACTTATGCAGTGGTGGTTCCCCCCCCCCCCCCCGCAATAAAGTTCTTTTGTATTTTGAGGCACAGTCTCACTAAGTTGCTAAATTGCCCAAGGTGGCCTCAGGCTTGGTGATCCCCTGCCTCAGCCTCCCAGAGGGCTGCAATGACAGGTACATGGCACCAGCCCTGGCTTCTTCTTCCCACTTTCTATTCTGGTATTCACTCACCAGTCATTTCTTCCCAGTACCCCCTTGAAATGCCTTTCTTGAAATGATGTACTTTTTTTTTTAAGAGCAGAATGTATTTACTGGGGAAAGAAAGCTTTTGGGGGGGTGGCGAGCAGGTTGTCCTCAGGGAAGTGGTCCTATACTATTTTTTTAAAGAGGAAAAACCAAACACAAATAACAAGAATAAAGGCAAAAGCAACATAAAATGATAAAAATGGTATAGAATTTCAAATCAAGAATAGAAATTAACATGGCTCCATAGAATAAGTGCTTGCCTGGCAAGTGCAAAGGCCTAAATTCAATCCCAGTTCTGAAAAAAAAATGGTTATCATATTACATATTGTTATCAAATTTGCTGTTCAGATTACCAGATATAGACATGCAAGATTGATCGGTTAAACATTAACTCTTCCTTTCAATAAACCTTAATTTTTCCTTTGTCCTTTTTATGCTTTACAATTTAGTTTAAAGAGAGTATAAAAATACCAGATAAGACATTAGAGACAGTGCACATTTGAAAAAAACAAGATGGAAGGTGTTTAGCTCTGGTTGTTCTGTTGCGCATTGCCGTCTTCAGTGTAGTTGCTCAGATTACAGATATTAGCACACGGTCA